CTCCCGCCCCCCCCGCATGTAACGCGTGTCCGTTCCTCACGGTTCGTAACGCGCGTTCCTTGACCTCCGTGCTTGGCCGCCGTTCTTTGGGAAAAGGGCCCGATGAACTTAGCGGGGTTTTGAAGAGGCCAGGCCATCGGATTTCGCTGTTTAGACCCATAAACATGTTGGGTTCAGACTGGCCATTTATATATATATATTTTATTTCTCTAGAACATTTAGTATTTATTTTTATTTATCAATATTATTATATTTAGGATAATGCCATTCTATTTATTATAATAATATCTAATAAATATTAATATCTCCAAGCTCCTCCTTTTCAGGCAAAAAGACGTATTTTTTTAGGTCGATGAAAGAGAACTACCGAAAGACAAGAGTAATATTTGCTTCTCCGGCTCATAGTTTAGCAGGATGCCACAGACCGGATTTTATTTTGGGAGCAGAACTCTTCTTCCTTTCACATTTTTAAGTCCACACCGAATCCTGAAATAAAACAACTGGCAGAGCACAGAAAATGTAAAATGTGCACATCTATGAATTCACATTCTTTTCACTAGGAAAAGTTTACAATGGAGAATTAGGTCTGCTTTTGTATGAACAGAGATTCTTGTCCATGGAGCAGCTGAAGATCCGATGAAGGTGTTTTCAGAATTCTCAGTCAAAAAGGTGTATATAATGTACAAAAAACCCAGAAATATCCTCAAACTCCATGCCAAGAAAAATTCAGATCCTAATACCCCCCCCCCATTCTGCTAAAACAAAACCATAACAAAGGCACAAGAATTTGGTATACTTAAGTTTATTATACTCTCAAAATTACCCATTTTCAAAAGTCACAGAATGTTAGTTGCTTCTAACTCTTCAAAATAACTAAAAACATGTATTATCTGACACAGGAGTGATTCTGGACTGCTAAATCCTTAATGGACCAACACAGACGAATCTATTTTTAACAACCACTCTGCATTTGTGAGAGCTAAAATCTTCTTGAATATCATGCGGGGACAAAACATCAGTAATTTTGAAATCGAATTTTTTTCCCAAATTCTAAAAAGGACAATTGTGCTAGAACATTAAAGGAAGCAAGCATCTCCCTCGTCCCCACCTGCTCTGTTTATCTGTAGTATGGTAAAGGTTGTACTGCAATAAATCCATTCAAACGTTTGCGTGCAACGCGTATTTTAATTTCTAGGAATTTGTGCCATACAAGGGCATCACTCGTTTCAAATCTTCTGTCTCCTTTTGAGGAACAAAATAAGGAAACACTTTGTGAGGAGCAGCAACATCTTTATTTAATTAAATCTCTACTTCATGCAGAAGCATGATCGTCCCACTTCCCCTTAAGTTTTAACTTTGGCAAAAATCACAAACAGAAAATAAGCAGCCAATACAGAACAGTGAAAATGCCAACAGTAAGGGTGCCCTTTAACAGTTCTGCTGGCAGGCAAACGCACACCATGAAAGCCTTAGTTCGGCTACAACAACTAGAACCTGTTTGTTGGTTAAAAGGCAGGGTTTCATTTCTGTTTTTACAACACGGCGGTTTCACTTTTTGACTTCTCCTAGATCTTCGATGCTGTCATCATCCACCTGCAACACACAAATCATATCATTCAGTTTTACAAGACGTAACCACCACGAAGCTACAAAAACACAGAACCACACATAAAAGAACTGGAACTTGCAAATGTAATGTACAATTTAAGCCATCTGAAAAGAAACCAGAATCGCGGGGTGCGCGGGGGAGGATAACCAAGAAGATGGTTATTTATAATGTGATTAAAGGAATGGAATATAGTATTATAGTGGCTGCAGGCCAGATGGGCAGGAGAAGTTGAACAAAATAAATAAATGACGCAGAGAAAGTAGCTAAGTCAAAAGGACAATCCCTTCTCCATGATATGAATTTATAATAATCCACACAATAAAGCTAATTGCTACTAGGAAATTGAAAAGTCTCTTACAAAAGCTTGTGTAGATATCCTAGTGGTTCAAGACAAAAAAAACCTAAATGAAACTCAATGCGCTTCCCCACTCAGCTCCTCTCCTTGCCTCACAATGCCGTCGCATTGCTTGAAGTGTGTTGTTATTAAACCGCAGCTCACACTGACTAGTAATTGAACAAGACTAGAAGTGAAATACACAGAAATCTAACATACACACCTCAAAAAAACAGGTTACACAACCTACCTCTGGCCATTTTTCCTGAATGACGTCAATAATGTCGTCTGTGAAGTCCCCCTGAATGATGATTTCATCCTCTCCTGTTACTGAGGCACCGCAGGAGAACTTCTGAGCAAAGAATCTTTGTGCTTCCTTAAGATCTATTTCTGTTGGAGCAAACAAACAAACAAACACACAAGGATGAAACCATTTGCTGATCAAAGAGCGACGTCTGGAAACCTCAAGGAGAGCAAAGCCTCTTTTTTTTCGCTCACCAAAAGTTGCGAGCCCACACACTCTCGTGACGTATTTCTTCTTCGCTCTCGGGATTTTTGCTATCGTAACTTTCTGAGGGACCGTCTTCTTCTTCTGTTTTATCTGACCTCTTCCACCTGGGGGAACAGAAGAAAAAATGCGACAAAAAAACACACATTGCTAATCGCCTCATTCCTTGGCTTCAGAGTGTATCAGATTTCTTGCTATGTTCTGCTTCGAAACAAAACAGCTGACCTCAGCTGTCCTTAAAATCCCACCGTGTTACTGGTTTGTTTTTACAACATCCAATCCATAAATAAGCAGCCATTTAGACCTTGCCTCTCTTTTGCTTTTTCTTCTCTTCTTCTTCACCCGTCGTGCCTTGACCTTCTCCAACGCCAGATTCTTGTTTAGGAGAATTTTCTGAATTGGGATATAAACGTATTTAAGATATAAATGTATTTAAGGCAAAACAGGGACATATATAACCAAATCACTCTCGGGAAGACAGAATGCCACCCAGATCAACAGGATACCTTTTTTAAATACAGCAACTACACCTAAGCTTATTCAGATATACACCATGCTAAGTAATTATAATGGGGAAGGAAGCTGTTTGATAGACAAGTCCCAGGATGTGTGTTTTTTTTTAATCAAAGCAAAGAATTGTGGACTGAAGAGGAATGTATGAAAAATCCAGGTATAATTTATATTGGAAGTGAAAAGGACCATTGTGAATGGAAGTACCGTATTTTTCACACCATATGCACCAATTTTTTAGGAGAAGAAAACAGGAAAATATAATCTGTTTTCTTCACTCCATAAGACGCACAGACTTTCCACCCCCCGTTTTGTGGGAAAAAAGTGCGTCTTATGGTGCGAAAAATATGGTATGTTGTGTAGTTACTGCCACACTTTTACTGCTCTACACGACATTTATCACTCCTAGAACAGTTACATAAAGAAGACCCTCAATTCAAGTCAAAGTTAGTTTACTGGTAGTAAATGCCTCCATCGCATAGTCTTAAAATCTCCACAGCAAACCTTGCATCCTCTCTGAACCACCAGATTTACTTTCTTCTCCCTCAGACCGCAGTCCTGTGCAGGCTTAATCAAGAGTATACATCCGACTAAAATCAATGGGGCTTCTATGCAGGCAAATGTGCACAGGATTACAGCCCAAATCTCGAGTTAGTTAAAAAGCACCAGCAAGTATTCCTTACCTACAGTAAGTTTTGCAAACTCGTTTGGAAAATTCTTCTCTAGCCATTGTCTGCATTTTGCCACATCGGGCATATATTCGCAGTACTGGGAAAGAAAGAAAGAGCGAAAAAACTGTAGGGCTTACACTTCTTACACTCATACAAACTTAGCAATAGTCAGGTACAATAAGATGAGGGGTTACAGCTTAAAAAGATCTAGAAGGGTCTGATTTGGTTAACCCTTCTTGAACAATTAATAAACGAACGTCCATATAACAAGGCCCTAAAGCAGCCATTCTCAACAGGAGTCACATACCCCCCCAAGCATATTTGAAGGGGGCTACATTCATATCATATTTATGGCCATGGCAAAAAAATAATTAAATAAAAATTTGAGAATGGCTGCCGTAAAGGATGATGACAACAGAAATGAGACTCAGTTTTAATCCAGTCCAAGGTGGCAGAAAGGACTTAGCCCCACTACAGATGTGGGAACCCCACATTCCCTTATGTAGGAGACTCCCTAAGAATGGAAATCCACTACTCTTGAGCACAGGCTGAACTAATCCCTCTCCCCCCAGATCTGCCGGTTCTTTATGTGCAAAGGGAAAGTTAACTCACCTCAGTTGGCAATGAGCAGACTGGAAAAGGAAGGAGAAAAAAGGTAGGTTTTTCAGATTAAGAACATGATTTTTTTTCTGTATCTTCATATATGAAAACATCTTTTTAAACAAACATTTATAACACAGGCGCTGAAATCCTGCTGCGTCATGTATGTTACATAAGGCTGATGACCTCGTCAGCCATGGCAATGTTTGGAAATTTAAAAAATTCCAATTTCCATCCCATCCCCCAAAGGTTCATGGGGATCCGTTGGGATCCCTTGCCATGTGGAACCTGGCAACGGGTGCAGGACAAAGTGAGGAGTCTTTAACTTCCAAAAATGGCTGCCAGCAGTAAAATACTTAAAATGAAATATTGTGGCAGAAACCTGCATAAAGTACAAACCACTTCAAGTTTAGCCACATGAATAGAAGGTTAAATCTGGGGGAAAACCACTCCCTTTCCCTCCAATAAATGGACATTCTTGCCTGTTCTTGCACACGCCCACAAAGAGTTGTCTGAATAGAGGACAGACTTTCTACCATACTACACCCTAGGCCTTTTTAAAGAGCCCCTCTCACTCTCCTCCCATACTTACCTCCACAGTACAGAACTCGGAGGGGATAGTCCACATCCGGCCTCGCATTCCACTTTTGATCTCCTTTACAATCTAGGACCGTGGGCTCGGCCGCATCCATCGCCATCTCACAAGCCTAGAAAACACACACAAGCAGAGAAATTCAGTGCAAAAAAACCCAATTCTGGAAACCCATGGAGGTCAGAGAAAGCACCGCCCCCCCCAAAAAACGCCTGAGGCTACCAATGTGCCAATAAATTTGTTGCAGTGACGTGTCATTCTTAATTTCCTTCCTATATCACCCCTCCCTCGCAGGAACACAGAACAGTTCATAACAGTTCATAAAACACATGTTAAAGTCACCAGGCGCAGATATCAAAACCAGAAATAAAATGATAAACTACAACTATCCACTCAAATTAAATGGAAAGAAATGAAAACAACCCGAAGCAACAGAAGACAAGGGAAGCACTTGCCGAGCCTGGGAATTTACACAAATACATGTGTTTTTAACTGGCGCCTGGAAGAAAAAGAGTAATGGGAAATTTGCTCTGTAACAGAAACGGGTTCCAGTAACCCAATGGGCCGTGCTATTTTGCAGCACAAATAAGTGCAACCATCAAACTGGTTTGAAATTGCAGAGCTTAATTCTCTGCATGTGAATTGCAGAACCTCTCGCACTTATGATGCCTGAGGTAAACAAAGTAGGCAAAACTCTTAGATTCTGATATGGTGTATCTGAGGATTGAGGGGTGTATCTCCCCTCCTGGAGAGGAGATTCTAGAAGTGGCAAAAAGACGCTCCGGGCTTGCGACCAGGAGAACAGGGCAGAGAGCAGATCGGGGACTGAGAAGCGAACATGAGCGGCAAAGAGCTTACAACTCGTTTCGACCACATCCAGCACCCCCAAAGACTGCACGGGCAGGGATACGCCGGGTAGAGTCGTTTTTTCCAAGATCTGGAGCAGCGCGTATGAAAGCCCGGACATCCACAGCAGGGGCAGCTGGCTGGCTGATCTCCAAAAGGAGGGCGAGGAGCAATGAGGCCACCACCCCGAAGGCTTAAGGGCGGAGAGAGAAAGGCTGTTCTGGGCTTTCAGGGAACCCCTGAAAGGCGGGGATCCCCCTCTGCCCAAGACCCGACATGGCCACCAAAGGGTAGAGTCGGGTCGCAATGACCAGATAGGCGGGATAGAAATAGAATAAATAAATAAATAAACAAACAAAGAACTGTGAACAAGGGAGGAGACATTCATTGAAGGCCACTGGGAAACCAGAAAAAGAGGTTGAGCCCTCTGGGATGCAAACTAGAAGATTAGATAGACAGATAGACAGACAGACAGACAGATAGATAGGCAGGTAGGGGTGTGAGTGTGTGAATTAGAGAGAGAAAGAAAGAGAGAGAGTCTGTGTCTGTAAGGTTTTAAAAATATTCATTCCCCCCCTTTTTTTTCACCCAAGCAACCAACTTGCCTTGTGAGAAGCTCTCTCTCTCCCCCCCCCCGGCCCATTTCTTTGCCAGCAGGCAGGCTCCCTCAATGAATTTATCATCATCAGCAGCAGCAAAATTTCTGTACTGCTTCTCATTTGCAGAGATGCCAAAGAGATTTGCGACATAAAGCAATTCAATAAAACTGGAAAACTGCAAACGACAAGAATTCCAAACAGCCAAGATAAAAACATATCTTTTCACCAAAAGTCAAGATAAAAACATATCTTTTCACCAGCATTGAAACCTGTTGTAATGGAAAATATTTTTCCATAGGAATTTTCAAACAATGTTTAGATACTATGACTTCATAATGGCTTCCTACTTCTTGAACGGTCTTCTCCCTTCTTTCATTGTTAGGAAGTAACCTCTGAACAAAAAATGATGCATCAGGACAACTACAAAAGAATGGGTTTGGGTTGACAAAAATGTTCTTCACCTGGTGGCTGTAGACCATAAACTCCGTTTCAACCACCTCCTCCTCCTCCTCCTCTTCTCCTTCCTCTCCTCCTCCTTCGGGGGCGCATGCAAGCCCAGCGGCGGAGCGGCTGCCCAGCGGCAAGCAGGCTGGGCCGGGAAAGACCGCGAGACCGGCCGCCTTTCTCGCGAGGGTTCTC